GCTGAGTCAGCAGGCAGACCTCCCCGACCAGGAGCTGAGCTCTGCGAGGGAGAAGGCCTCTCTCTTGATCCAGCGGGCGCTTATCATGTTCCCTGGAGGTGGGTGTGTCCCCGCAGCCCCCCCGTGGGCACGGATGGGTCCCAGCGCTTGCCCCAAGCTCTCGGGAAGATGCACTTTCCAGCGGGGCCTTCAGGCGCCGGGGCTGCAGTTTGAAAGCTAACTTTGCCGTTAGAGCACCTGGAGCCTTTAGGGTGTCCTTAGATATTAGCAGTTCAAGCAAAACTTACCACCTGAAGTAGACACATTTTCTCTGGCCGTGGGCTGGGTGGGGGAGAAAACGGGGCCAGGAGGGGCCGAGTCAGCAAACTGCGTGTCTCTCCTCGTCCTCAAGTCCCAGTTCTCACTGGGATGAGGAGCTCAGAGTTAGGTTTGCCCTGGGTCCTCTCGGGTGACCTGCTGGTTAACATGGGCCCCTAAAGTTGTGGGTGTGTGGACGGGAAGAGGGGTCACGGCCCCTCTGCTGGGCGACATTCTCAAAGGGTCTGTGACCTGAGAGAGGAACCCACTGCCCTCTCAGGCCCTGGTGGGGCTGGGGTCCAGGACCGCGTGTAGCTCCGCAGGGGCTGGGCCGTGCAGCTCGGGCCCTCGCGCTCCGTCCCTGGCGGTGAGCCTCCCTGTGGGCGGCCGGGGTGACACCCGGTCGCTCGGGGCTCCCGGTAGACAGCGTCCTCAGCCAGCCCCTCCCGCTCATCTCAGCTGGGCTCCATCCACACAGGCGCTGCCTGGCCGGCTCTGAGCCGTGCTGGCCCTTCCCGATGAGGCCCCTGACGGGGTGTTAAGGCCCTGTCAGGCACGTGGCTTTTAACGGAGCTCGCCCCTGGGAGAGCTTTGGGGCAGGGGTTCTCTATGATGAGAGCATCCAGCGCACGCGCTCAGGGCTCCTGCGTGAGTCCCCTCGGGTGCAGATGGGGCTGCAGGGCAGCGGGACGGACAGCCCTCCGTGGCGGCAGGGGCCCCTGGGCTGGTGTGGGAGAGCGGCCTCCCCTGCCCCTCAGCCCTGGCCTTGTGGGCGTGACGGCCCTGCTCCCCCCGCAGTGCTCATGCCTCTGCTCGAGTACTGCAGCGTGCGCCCCGACGCCGCCGTGGCCGCACACCACTTCTTCGGACCCGACGCCGAGATAAGGTACAGACGGGTGGGCGCCCTCGGGGTGGGGGTGGGCCTGGGTGGCGGGACTGTCCTCCCTGCAGGGGCTCTGGGGCCCTGGCCATGTGGGCATCAGCCTGGCCTGTTGGACACAGTGGGGGCACTGGGGCTGTAACGTCCTTGCAGCTGTGAGTGTGGTTCAGGTGCCTGTATTGGCACCTGCTGCCTTTTAAAGTTTCTTGTAAAACGTGAAGAAAAACGTGGGACTTTGGAGCCAGCCATCTCAAGCCCGGTCAGGAAACTGGGGCGGGCTCTCCAGTGTCTGTGCGCACGGGTGTTTGCGTTCTCCTTGTATTTAGATTTTGATCGAGGAATTTGTTCTTAGCAAGGACGCTGCGCAGAAGCACATGCCTGTGTGCCCTGCCCCGGGGTCCCTTTCCCTTGTCGGCAGCCCCCTCTGGGCAGCCTCTTTCCCCTCCAGGTCGCCAGCACGCCCTGGATGCCCACAGGCACTGGCGGGCGCGTGGAGCCTGGGCCCGTGGGGGTCTCACAGGCCCCACTGCCCACAGCCAGCCCCCCGCCCTGAGCCAGCTGGTAAGCCTGTACCTCGGGAGGTCCCACTTCCTCTGGAAGGAGCCGGCCACCATGAGCTGGCTGGAGGGGAACGTGCACGAGGTTCTGCACGCGGTGGACGCCGGGGACCCTGCCGTGGAGGCGTGTGAGAACAGGTGAGCCTGGGGCCGGGGTGCGGGCACTGCTCTCAGGACCAGGCCCGTCTCGCGGGCAGTGCAGGGCCGCGGCCGCCTCCACCACTGCCACTCATCTCCCTGTGCCCTAGGCGCAAGGTGCTGTACCAGCGCGCACCCAGAAACATCCACCGCCACGTGGTCCTGTCTGAGATCAAGGAAGCTGTTGCCGCCCTACCTCCGGTAAGGGAACGGGCTGGACTCGGGCTTCTTCCTGCCGGCAGCTCTGCCTCCGGGTCGGGGTCACGGGCAGAGGCCCCTCCCCTCACAGACACTTGCGTTCTGAGAGGCAGAGCTGAGCCTGCAGCTTTCCGTGACCTTATCGGGCTCAGAGCGGTGACCTGGTGGCTCGGAACCCCGAGGCGAGTAGCCGGCAGCCTGGGAGTGAGGCCCGGACATTTTGCAGGGCGGTCACAGCACGTGTGAGCGGAGGTCCTGTGGTTCCCACGCCCGCACCGGTCCCTGGGCTCATCCCAGTCCTCTGAGCGGGCCGGATGAGCGTCCTGCTGTAGGAAGGGCCCTTCTGCCCCCTTGCCCAGGCTTTCAGTATGGGGAACACAGCCTCGCAAACAAGGGCCGCTCCGTCAGCCCATTCCCACTCCCAGCGGAAAGGCCTGGTGCAGAGTGGAATCGGCTGAAAGTCGCCCCTCTGCTCTGTGCCTTTCTGAAGGATGTGAGCACGCAGTCTGTGCTGGGCTATGACCCTTTGCCTCCCTTGGACACCATCTACTCCTACGTCAGACCGGAGAGGTACTTGCTGCCCTGCTCCTTTGCCCACACGGCTCCGAGGTCAGTGCTGGGGCTCGGGGTGGGGGGGGGTGCCTTGCTGCCTCAGACTCAAGCCCTCAGAGAATATGGTGATCTGGGGTCACGGATCAGCTGTTGCAGGCCATGTGTTTTCACTTATTTGTCCATCGAAGGCCGTTTGTCTGTCAGGTCCTGGAGCAAGTGGTGGAGGTAGGGTAGGACGCAGTTGTAGAATCCGGGAATGAACGTAAACTCAGAGCCGCAGCTAAGAGCCTGCGAGGAGACAGCGGGTGAGCCTGACGTGTGAACGGCTGCTGGTTTCCACAGGAGCCTCAGCCTGTGCGGAGGCCCTGCCAGGGCCGAGTGTCTGGCGGTCAGGCCGGGACGCAGAAGGCCCCGAGGCCCATCCAGGAGGGCAGGGGCGGGCCCCGCGGTGCCGAGTCTGCAGGCGGCCTTCAGAATTGGCTCAGACAAATGCTTTCTTCCCCCTTCCCTTCCGGCCTTGAAAGCTTTACGTTAAGTAATTGCTTTACTTCACGTAGAGCCCGTGGTCACAGAGTCACCGACCTGGGAGAGTCACAGACAGACTTTCTCGTTTCCAGGCTTCAGGCGGATGTACTTTGTGGAATGAAGTCTTTTTTGTTCTCTGCTGAATTATAAAAGTTAAGAGTGCGCGTTCACAGGGAAATATAGTCCCCAGTTAAATTCTCAACAGGTTAAGATGAAAATTATTAATGATCAGTGTCTGTGGCTTCAACACCAAGCTGATGTGCTGGGCGTGGTCACACTGAGGATGGCTGGGTGCTGTGCTGGCCCCAGGCGCCCGGAAAGTCCAGGAGGGCCCCGCCCCCAACCCGACGCATGCCCTAGAATCTTCTCTCCACTCCTCAACTCTGAGCGAAGGACACTTTGAAACAGCTTTTCTCAAGAGCGAGTGAGGCTTGGCTGCAGCGGCCCCACTCTCCACTCAACTGGCCACGTTCCGAAGGCCAGCCCCACGCTGGACCCCCTGCACCTCGGGCCTGAGCCACCCCCTGCCGCCCCCGCCCCCTCTCTCCCCAGCCGCCGCGGAGGCTGCCCTCGTGGCCCCGCCAGGGCCTTGCTGACCGTCCTGACTCCCCTTCCAGGCTCAGCCCCGTCAGCCACGGAAACACCATCGCCCTCTTCTTCCGCTCCTTGTTGCCGAACTACGCCCTGGAGGTACGTGGAGCCCAGCACATGGGGGCTGCCAGCCTGAGACCAGGTGTCGGGTCCCGAGGCGGGGGGCTGGGCGGGGGCTCGTGCCGGCAGGCGCGGCTCAGACGAGTCTCATTGCTGCAGGGGGAGCGGCCGGAGGACGGAGGGGCCAGGGGTCCACACCTTGACCAGGGCTTGAACAGGCTGATGCTGGCCTTGCGGGACATGATGGCCAACTTCCAATTCCACGACCTGGAGGTGCCGCGCGAGGACCACCTCGAGGGCGATGAGTGGGACTGAGGCACGGGCAGGGCCCCAGCGCTGTGCAGTTATGTTCCCGATTGTGTGCTGGTCAGATCGGCCAGGTCCCTGACCTAGAAGTGCTGCTGTGTTGTCTGCCTGCCTCTGCTGTTCTATAAACGTGAACGGGTTGCGCTCTGCCCGGCGTGAGCTCTTCCTTTCCGGCGCTGCGGTCGGCGCCCCCAGATCCTCACACCCCCCAAGACTCCCCAGGAGCGGGCCCCGCGGCCACTCACGGCAGAGCCCCAACCCTGGGCAGGACCTCCCCGCCGCTGTGCTGCCGGCCCGGGGCATCGCAGAGCCAGAATCCGTGCTCGCTTCAGTGAGCACCGTCGGTGGGGAGGCCGAGAGGTGTGTTTTGGAAAGGACGCTCGTCTTGGCAGCTCTGGGGGTTGTACGTGGCAGAGACTGGGGGGCACTTGATCCAGGGGTGAATGGACCATAGGCTGGGGAGGGTGAAGGGGTGGGACCTGGTGCTCTTGAGTGACCGCTCAGAACCACACGGGCTGCCTGTGACTAAGGGTCCTGTTTGGTTCTGGAACAACCCAGGCCACCAAGATTGTGAGCCCCACGTGCTACCCTTTATGCTGGGCACCCTCCCAGCCCTGACCTCCACCCACAGAGGCTGCCCGTGTGCTCCAGTCTGCGGTTGGGGCTCCAGGCCAGTCAGTGTGGCAGGAAGTATGACCCAGCCATCTCCAGCATGCACCCAAGTCCTGGTCCGTTGGCCCATCTTCCAGGAAGTCTGTGGCATCCTGATCATGATGTGGGGTCACCTACTGCAGAGGCCTGTGAGGTCATCCTTCCAGCTGTTCCCGAGTCGGGGGCGCCTCTGTGCCTTGAGCACCTGTGGCAAGGACAGGGCCCTGCGGATGTGGTTACCCCTCCCACCATCCACAGCCAGCTCGGAGACCGAGCCTGCCCTAGAACCACATGGTCCCCACCAGGGTGGCCTGTGATGAACTTCAGCAAGTAAGACAGTCTGCTGGGGGTCTTCTGGGAAGGGGATTGATCTCTGAAAATGACAGGCAAGCAGCGAGAGCTTGGCACCCTACCTCTTCCAACCTTAAATACATTTAGGTGAGGATGTGATGTGCGGAGCTACAGCAGCCATCTTGCAACCAGGAATCAAACTTTAAAATGAAGAGCCGGTGTCCTGGGGATCGTGAAGCAGAGGCTGGGCCCGGGAGGTGATGAAACTGCTCACCCCCCCAGGCCCGGTGCCCACCCAGTGCTGCGTCGTGCTGCTCCGTCTAATGGGGGTGAGAAGACAGCCAAGGCCCTCACATCTAGACCCCTGCTGTAAAGGCTCAGCTGACCACTCAGGCCTTGCGCTGCTCATGGGTTGCTGATGGGTTGTGCTCTTTCCCAAGTCACACCCCACCTCAGGTCTTCAGCGTGGGCACCAAAGGGTGGGCACAAAAGCCCCTCCTTTCCCTGAGTTAAAGGAAACTAGACAACCCTGGAACCCAGATCCTGTGACCCAGCTCTGGGCCAGGTCTTCCTGAGATCTCTCCGTGGTGAGGGGAGGGGGCAGGGGCGCTGGCTGCACTCCCCGTGGCTGCTGTGGGGGGACCCCATCGGGGGTCCCCCATGAAGCCAGGCCTCCCCGGCGTGGCTGTGGCTAGACAAGGCCGCCCCTTGGCTCTGCAGGCAGAAGCTCCTCAGGCTCCAGCTCCCATGAGCTCCCTCACATGGTGAGCCTTCGTGTGCTGCGGGCCTGACCCTGTTCTGGTGCTGGGGACCCAGCACTGAGACAGTTCCTTCTCTCACAGCCTCATGAGTGGTCGGCACGTGGTCTCATGTGGTATTTTCTCTGAGGGGGTGGCCGTCCGCCCCCCCGACCTGTGTCTGGCCAGTCCTCACTTGCTTTCTTCCGGGGGCGCTGGAGGTCGAGCGGGTAGGACTGGCCGCAGGGTTAGCTGTGGTTTCACGTGGCTGTTTCCCAGGACTGTGACCAATTGCAGCTCAGCTGTACCTGCTGTCCCCCTCCTTCGGGGTGAGAACCAGACAGGGAGTCTCGAGGCCTCCCCAGGAAGAGGGCTGTGGTCTCATGGCAAAGGCCGCCCAGTTCTCCTGGCCTTTGAAGTCTCAGACTGGGGGCGCTGGGTCTGGGGAGGCACAGCAATCTCAAAGGCCTCATTTATGGAGCCGTAATGACACGTAAGCTAGAGGCAGGACACTGCTCGCCCGGCGGCCAGGGAGTCCTGGGACTCACGTGGCAGAGACACCAGGGTTCAGGGCAGCGATGCCAGCACTGCCCCCACCGTGGCTCTGCCTCGTGGTCCTGCCCTGGGACCCTTTGCTCCCTTTGGGGTTCTCCACCAGGAGGTGGGGCGCCCTGGTTCCTGCAGAGCCCAGGCGAGGCCCTTCCTTCCACCCTCCTCTACGTGGTGGGTGGGGGACCTGTGCACAGCCAGAGACAGGCAAACGGGTCCACCAGGGTGTAAAACAGTTTGGCGGAATCTACCAAAGCTGAAGGTGTGCCTCTGACCATGCGGTCCCACCCGTGTGTCACCCAGCAGCAGTGTCTGTGACAGACGGGGGCCACCCAAACGCCCACGCGACCTGCGCGTTAACGACCGCTGCGTGCGTCCGCGAGGGTGTCTCAGTGCTGAGTGAGGAAGGGTCCAGAGTCCACGCGTATCAGTTTCCAAAACAGGCAAAGTTAACCGATGGTCGGGGCCGGGAGGACGCCCCGGAGGGTCTGGTGCAGTCAGTGTTTGATTGATTGACTGGGTGCTGCATTCCCGGCTGTGTTTGGATGAGGTGTGCACCAACCTGCATGTTTATGATTCGTGTGCCCTCATGTACGACGCGCTGCAATAAATAGCACCAACAGAGGCAAAGGGGGAAGGGGCCGTGTGAATCGTCAAGGGTAGGGAAGGGAGCTGACGCTGGTGAGCAGGTGCGCCCTCCCCCGTCTGCTGAGGGGCACAGGACGGACCCAAACAGGAACATCGCAGCCCAGCGCCTTCAAAGCACCAGACCCTCGGCCGGCCTCTGACTTCCCGCACCCGTGAGGGGCCGGCCCTGCGGTCCATGCCCACCCCGCCCTCAGAGGAGACTTTGTCGTCAGCACCGGGCACTCTTTAGTGACAGAGTGATGATGGCTCGGCTGCCGTGACCTTTTGCAGAGGCAGTGGGGGCCGTCGGGGGAGGTCTGGCAGCTCTGTCCCCGCCCCTGCCTCGGGAGGAGCCGGAGCGCAGGAAGCGGCTGGGGGTCCTTGGGGCTGGGCCGCCTTCAGTCAGCGTTTAACGTGGGGCAGGCTGGTGTGTGTGCACGCGTGTGTGTTCCTGAGGCAGGATCCGACGGCTTCAGGGAGGAGGTGGTGGTCTACCATCGGGCCTGGACGAGGGCTGGAAGTCTCAGAGGCGGGTCCGGAGCGGGACCCCCGCGCCCGCGACACCTGGAGTGGAGGTGGGCTGAGCACGGCGCGGCTGGCCAGACTGCCGTGATCTAAGCGCCAAGCTGCCGGGACAGGCCCGGGTGCCAGCTGCGCCATCTAGCGGCAGCCCTCACGCTGCAGCCCGGGCACGCGCCCGTCACGGTGCCGCCCTCAGGGGGAGGGGCTCTGCGGATGACTTTAAAAGCCCTGAGGAAGGCAGGCGGTCTCGCAGGACCGGAGGTAGCCAGAGGCCTGGAAATGTCCGGATCTGGGCGACCGCGCCTCCAGGGAAGAGAGGAGGTGGACTGAGGACCAGGACAGAGACACTGAGCCCGCAGGGCTGGCAACTGGGAGCTTGGGATCCTGGCTGGGAAGTGACGACTGGTGGAGAGGCCGCCGTTTGTCCAGCCCCGGAGGGCGGAGTGTGAGGGGCCTCCCGGTGGAGCCATGAGCTGGGCGGGGCCCTGAGAGCAAGGACCCCTTCCTGCTCCCTGGCGGGACGATGCCTGTGCTCGGCCCCCAGAGGCAGCTGCCGAGTCCCCTCAACTCCACGTCCCCAGCCACCCCCCGCCTCGGGCTGGCCACCAACCAGACGGGGCTCCAGTGCCTGGAGGTGTCCGTTCCCGAAGGGCTGTTCCTCAGCTTGGGGCTGGTGAGTCTCGTGGAGAACGTGCTGGTGGTGGCCGCCATCGTCAAGAACCGCAACCTGCACTCGCCCATGTTCTGCTTCATCTGCTGCCTGGCCGTGTCCGACCTGCTTGTGAGCGTCAGCAACGTGCTGGAGACGGCCGTCATGCTGCTGCTGGAGGCCGGCGCGCTGGCCCCTCGGGCCGCCGTGGTGCAGCAGCTGGACGACGTCATTGATGTGCTCATCTGCAGCTCCATGGTGTCCAGCCTCTGCTTCCTGGGCGCCATCGCCGTGGACCGCTACATCTCCGTCTTCTCCGCCCTGCGCTACCACAGCCTCGTGACACTGCCCAGGGCGTGGCGGGCCATCGCGGCCATCTGGGTGGCCAGCGTCCTCGCCAGCACCCTCTTCATCGCCTGCTACAACCACACGGCCGTCCTGCTCTGCCTCGTAAGCTTCTTTGTGGCCATGCTGGCGCTCATGGCGGTGCTGTACGTCCACATGCTGGCCCGCGCGTGCCAGCACGCCCGGGGCATTGCCCGGCTCCACAAGAGGCAGCACTCCGCCCAGCAGGGCTTTGGCCTCAAGGGCGCGGCCACCCTCACCATCCTGCTGGGCACGTTCTTCCTGTGCTGGGGCCCCTTCTTCCTCCACCTCTCGCTCATCGTCCTCTGCCCTCAGCACCCCACCTGTGGCTGCGTCTTCAAGAACTTCAACCTCTTCCTCACCCTCATCATCTGCAACGCCATCGTGGACCCTCTCATCTATGCCTTCCGCAGCCAGGAGCTCCGGAAGGCGCTCCAAGAGGTGCTGCAGGGCTCCTGGTGAGCTGCTGGGCAGAGGGAGGAGGTGCTGTCGTGCGGCCCAAGCCCTGGGTGGCCGGAGTGGTCCCTTGGCAGAGAGGACGGGCTAGGCCATCTCTGAAGGTGTGGACGCACAGACCCTCTGGGGCCCGGGAGGGGAATGGCCCGAAGCTCCAGGAGGAGCTGTGGGGGATGGATGAGGCTGGGGAGACGGCGGGGCACGGCCCACGTCTCTCGAGTCCCCCCTCGTGCAGAGACCCGCCGCACCCACTCTGGGACAGCCCCCCCCCCCCCCCCCCCCCCGG